AAATAGCTGCATGACAATGACAATAAGCATGCCCGCACCTGATTCCTTATGACGAGTGGCACAACAAGTATGGTGGACATCCGTGCATCTGAATACCTCTCAGATTCCCGGTCCCGAAATAATCGCCTGGATAGACACGTCAGGCTCCGATTATCCTGCTAAGCAAGCCACGTGGATACCTCACAAAGGCCTATAAATACCCCCAGGGGCCACCTGAGAAAGGTAATTGAAACCAACCCTAAGCTCTTTTTATCTCCGCTCTAAAGGTAGCCCCGATTATTGCTGACTTAAGCATCGGAGTGTCTACCCCGAGTTCCACCTCGGGGCTTTGCAGGTTTTCCTGAAGTGCAAGTGCGGACTGAAGAAGGACTTCTGGTTTGGTGCAATTACATTGGCACCGTCTGTGGGAACCGAACTGAAAGCTTGTTAGTTGCTCTTTCATCATGGTTCACACTCGATCAGTCTGAGCTGGTAATTCATCTCTGCCTCATGGGCAAGGTCAACCCTCCACCAACCTTCCACCTCTGATCCCACCTCAAATCCCAACTCCACTTCCACCTCAGGTCCCAATTGTGTTCCCTCCTGTTGATCATGCAGAAGGAGGAGATGAAAACCAGCCTCATGCCTCAGCTCACAATTCAACTTCCACTACCAACCAAGACGTAGTGACAGCTCAGCTTGCTGCCATGCAGCAACAGTTCGGTGTTTTTCAGTTAATACTGGCTCAGCTTTTATCCAGAAACAATCCTGGTGACCCCCTCATTAATTTACTAAACCCTACTCAACAACCCCCAGCTCCACAACAAAATCCCCAACCGGTTCAACCTGCTCCCGCTATTAGCGAATCTCAGGGTCAATCCCATATAGCACCTGCTCAACAACCCATCCCTGATGATGTTACTCGCCGCCTCGATAGCTTGGAAAAGCTAGTAGCTGAACACCGAGGTGCTCCACCACCACACCATGCTGCTGATTCTATACCTCACCCTCTGAATACCAACATTACACTGGAACCCAATCCTGCTGGTTTCAAAATACCACAACTAGAGACTTATGATGGGACGAAGGATCCCGATGATCATTTGCATGCTTTCTACTCTTGCATGCAAGCACAGAATGCCTCTGACGCGTTGATGTGCAAGATCTTCCCCTCTACTCTCCGAGGTAATGCCCGAACTTGGTATTACAGTTTACCTCCGAGGTCAATCAGCTCTTATACAGAAATGGCATCTGCCTTTGCCACTAAGTTTTCTAGTAGAAGGTTGATTAGGAAAACTACTTCTGAGCTGATGCGAGTTAAACAGAGGGATGGAGAATCTCTGAAGAACTATATGAGTAGGTTCAATGATACAGTTTTAAAGGTTAGTTCCTTTGATCAAGCTGTGGGAATTGCAACTGTGATCTCCGGTCTCAAGCATGACAGGTTTAGAGACAGTTTGATCAAACATGCTGCCACCACCTTTAGCGAGGTGAATGATAGGTCTCTCAAATTTATAACTGCTGAGGAATACGCCCTGGCACAAAACCTACCTTCCTCTAAGAACCAAAACCCAGATTGGAGAGATGACAACCCAAGCAGGAAGAGGATGAGGATGGCGCAGAACCGAGGTCCGATGTTGACCTCCCCAACGAGAGTCGGAAAGCCGAACTCAACACCCCCGCAACAATCTGCAGGTAAACCTCCAGTTAATTGGACTCCCTTTAATCTGTCGAGGTCACAGATTTTTATGCAGATTAAGAACAAAATGGACTTGAGACGTCCTGGCCCAATGCGAACTGCTGCTACTAGTCGAGACCATACCAGATATTGTGATTTTCACCAAGATCACGGCCATACTATAAAGCAGTGTAACAGTTTAAGGTCCGAACTGGAAAGTTTAGCTCAGAAAGGAATGCTGAATGAGTATGTTCAGAGAGCTAAACAACCGAGGTTTGTCAGAGAGCAGAGGCCGCAGCCTCAAGGAGTCCGCAATCCCCAAAATAGACAAGGTGTGGGATATCAGCAAGCCCCACCTCCGCTCCCACCACCAGCTAGAATCATACACATGATTACGAGAGGCCTTGAAGTAGGAGGGCTGAGCTCTAAACAGCGAAAGCTGTATGTTAGAGAGGTTAAGCATCAGAACCGAGCTCAAAAGCGAAAAATTGACGATGCTGAGTGGAAAACTCAACCCATTACTTTCACATCTGCTGATCTTGATACAGTTGTTACACCCCACAATGATCCCTTGGTCACTTCTGTCATAATTAACAATTGTGAAGTACAACGTGTCCTTGTTGATACCGGAAGTGCACCAGATATCATGTACTTCCATTGCTTCGAGAGTCTTGGGCTGGATCTAGCGTTGTTGTAGAAATATGATGGTCCTATTTATGGCTTCAACAACCAACCTGTTCCGGTGGAAGGAGTTCTTACCCTCCATGTGGCTTTTGGGAGTGGCTGAACCTATGTAACCCCTTCAATCCGGTTCCTCGTAGTCAAAATGGCGTCCTCTTTCAACATTGTTATTGGCCGACCCACACTGACTGAAATCTGAGCTGTGGTTTCCCAGTCTCACCTCTGTATGAAGTTCCCAACTCCTATGGGAATAGCAACACTGCGAGGAAACCAGGAAATGGCTAGACATTGTTATATCACCTCAGTAACACAACCAACGAAGGGTAAAGATCAGACACCCGAGGCCATTCCCCAGCAAATTCCTAATAATCAGCAAGTTATGGGTGTAGAGATCGTCGATAATCGACCGGACGATGAAACCAGAGCTGCTCCGGTCGAAGAAGTTGAAGAAGTGCTCATTGATGACAGAGATCTGAGCCGAAAGACGCAAATTGGAACTAGATTGAACCCGAAAGAGAGAGCAGAGCTGATAGCTTTTCTTCGAGCTAACAATGATGTATTCGCATGGACTTCGGCAGATATGCTAGGAATTCCAAAATCAGTGTCTCAACATAAGCTCAGCACCAACCCATTGAAGAAACCAGTGGCCCAGAAGCGACGTCTCTTCGGGGGGGAGAGACTTCAGGCTATTAAAGAGGAGGTAGAGAAACTTCTACAAGCTGGTTTCGTCAGAAAAGTTGATTATTGCGAATGGGTGGCTAACCCAGTCCTGGTGAAGAAGGCAAACGGTAAATGACGAATGTGTATCGATTACACAAATCTTAACCACACCTGCCCTAAGGATTGCTATCCGATGCCGAGCATTGACAGATTAGTTGAAGCGGCTTCAGGCAATGAGAGGTTAAGCCTCTTGGATGCATATTCTGGGTATCACCAGGTGCCGATGGCTCCTGAAGATGAAGAGAAAACCTCGTTCTATGTTGGCGATGAAATTTATTGCTATGTCATGATGCCGTTTGGCTTAAAGAACGCTGGTGCTACTTATCAGAAAATGGTGACCATCGTCTTCCAAGCTCAGATCGGCAAAAATCTGGAGGTGTATGTCGATGACATCGTAGTAAAGAGCCGGAAAGTAGAAGACCATCTAGCCGATCTCGATGAAACCTTCAACAACCTCAAAAAGAACAGGATGCGGTTGAACCCAGCCAAATGTATTTTCGGCGTGGAGTCTGGAAAGTTTCTGGGTTTCATGGTGTCCCGAAGAGGGATTGAGGTTAATCTAGAAAAAATCAGAGCAATTGCCGAGATGGAACCACCGAAATCAGTAAAAGATATACAGAGGTTGACTGGAAGAGTGGCAGCTCTTCATCGATTCATATCGAAGTCAGCAGATAAGTGCCTGCCATTCTTCAAGATTATGAGGTCGGCCGCTCAGAAGGATGAATCAGGAAAATAGAAGAAATTTGAATGGAGTCAGGAGTGCTAGTCTGCATTCGACGAGCTGAAGTCTTATCTTAGCTCGCCACCTCTATTGACTAAGGCCATCGATGGGGAAATTCTTTATTTGTATTTGGGGATTTCAGATGAAGCGATTAGTTCAGTTCTGGTGAGAGAAGAAGCCAAACAACAGAAACCAATCTATTACATCAACAGTGTGCTACACGGAGCAGAGCTAAGGTACCCTATAGCTGAGAAAGCAACATTAGCAGTTGTCACTTCGGCCAGGAAGTTGAGGCCATATTTCCAGTCACACCCAATTATTGTTCTCACATATCAACCTCTCAGGCAGATTTTGCAGAAACCAGAGTGCTCCGGAAGATTAATTAAGTGAGCAGTAGAACTGGGAGAGTTTGAGATAACGTTTCAGCAGAGATCGGCCATCTAAGCCCAAGCATTAGCAGATTTCATTGTCGAATGTACTCCATGTCCTTCATCCTATAATCCAAAGCCCAACGATTGGACCTTATATGTTGATGGAGCATCTAGTAGAAAGGGTTTAAGGGCTGGCGCTCTCTTGATTGGTCCAGAGGGATACCGAAGTGAACATGCCCTGAAGTTCAACTTTGATGCGACAAATAACATGGCTGAGTATGAAGCTCTACTACTTGGTTTGCAACTAGCGTTGGAGTTGAAAATCAATGCAATTCAAGTGTACAGTGATTCCCAGCTGGTCGTAAACCAAATCAACTCTATCTGTGAAGTTGTTGATCCTGTGATGGTGAAGTATGTAGCCTTGGTGGCCGAGCTGAAGTGCAAATTCCAGAAATTCTGTCTAAGTAAAATCCCCCGAGCTGAGAATGAACAGGCAGATTCACTCTCCAAGTTTGCCTCTGATAGCTCTTTAAGTTCCAGATCCGTTTCTGTAGAGATCTTAGATGAACCAAGCTTCATGAAGCCTTGGGTGATGGAGATTAGCACAAACCCAGACACGCCGAGCTGGACTGATTCAATCGTCTCCTTTTTGCGAGATGGGATAGTACCTGAAGACAGGCAGGAGGCAATGAAGTTGAGAAAGAAAGCATCTCGGTATACCCTCGTTGATGGAGTCCTGTATAAGAGATCTTTCTCACTTCCTCTTCTACGGTGTTTAAACCCTTATGAAGCTGAATATGCACTTCGAGAGGTGCATGAAGGTGTCTGTGGGAACCATGTCGGTGCTAACTCTAGCTCACAAAGTCTTAAGGCAAGGATATTACTGGCCAAACATGCATAAAGATGCCACTTACTTTGTTCAGAAATGCCCGAAATGTCAATTCTTCGCACATCTAACTCACCAACCAGCAAAAGAACTCACGAACATGGTAACACCGTGGCCATTTGCTCAGTGGGGATTGGATCTTTTAGGCCCATTCGTGAAAGGGGTTGGTGGTGTAA